TGAAAAGACCGAGAAACAGTTGCCCCCCCCCCCCCCCCCCCTTCTGAAGTTTGCACGCTGTCCGAACAAGTATTATCATCTTCGTCAACATTGGTTATTGCAATACCTTGCTGCTTCTTTTCTTTTAACTTGAAACGTCTTTCTTTAACGCACTAGACAAAAGTGCTAACGCACCACAAATGAAAGTAATATTTTACTTTTCAAAACTTGTTTAAGATATATTTGATGTATTATGCTACAAAATCAAAAAATAAAGCATTTAAATGTCTTTATTGATAAATAACTACAATGTTTTTTGAAGTATGGCCATTTCATAGAAAATGTGAAAACCGTATCCATACTAAATTGGAGAGATTGGAAGAATCAGTGAGTGAATGTTTAATAAAAATCCACAATGATTTTGTAAATATAATGCTATTTGAAAGTTGTATTGTGGAAATAAAAAAAAAAAAAAAAATTGGAGAGATAATTTTCTATTCTTTTCTTTTCAATTTTGTTCTTTATGTTTGTATTAATTAGAAAATCAGAAGAAAAAATTCATACCGTATGCGGCATTTGATCCCAGGTGAGCGTGTTAAAACAGACATCATGCTGTCTGCAAGGGGTTTCTTTAGAAATAGATTAGTAGACCAAAAAAAATCAAGCCATTAAGTAAACACTACTACAATTTCAATGTCGTTCCACAAAATTGGGGCAATCGGAAGTTTAGTGGACTGGGTATAGACAACGATGCATTGGATGACTAGCAGGCGAAATAATAGTCAACAGCTGCATATTATTTGATTTTTTAACCGGGAGACTGTTTCTGGTGTAACCTCAAGGATCATCATCGATAATTAGCAATGCATATATCTGGGCAAAAAAGAGGTACGCAATGCATATCGGGAAAATGGCTTTGGGCAAGAAAGTCATTTTGGGGTTTTGCCCTGACAGCAAGACATTTGCCCATCCCATTGTATTGGAGAAATATGGCGTTTTATATATACTAATACCGTTTAGGCAAATGTTCAATTCACAAAAAAGAATTTTAAGTGGTGCGTTAGCAATTTTGTCTAGTGTCTATTTAGATTTGTAAGTGTGTACATGTTTACAAAAGCTTCAATATATGGTTTTATATAATAGGAAATTATATACACTAAACATTGAAAATTCCGAAAATCCGGTCATGTAACTACCAACATACGTGCATGTTTTAGCATATAAGAATCACCCTACCCCGGTTATGAAAAAAGTTTCTGATGATAGATAACGAAATATTGTACATACATCACAAGATTAGAGAACATACATTAAAAGAGTTTGAATATAAATTACAAGATATATTTAAAAAACAAGGTCCATGTTTGCTCTGCTTCAAATTTGTATTATTAATGGACTTTTGAGGTTGAATATTATTCGTTTTGCCCATATATTTCAATTCATAAGAAAAGCAAAGCAACGAGCATTTTTCAGTAGGATCCTTATTAAGTGTAGATTCGAGTTTGGTGAAATTATAGCCCAAGCTGGAGATAGTATAGGATGTCATTACACCCTTTAGTCAACGAAATTGTAACTAAATGCACAGTGAATGCAAACTGAAAGGATATAGAAAATATCCTTTCCGGTGAATTTTCTACGGTCTTTCAATTATCATTCAGTTGACTGAATGTTAGAGACCTCCCAATTTTGTTTTCAGTTAATATCTTTTACTTGTATTTTTTTCTTTAAAAAATTTAAATGAGATTAAATTTTATGCCTAAATCTGGTATCGAACCATTTTGTTTTTAAAAAGTAAATTGAAGAGAGCCTAATTACTTGCAGAAATCCTGTTGTAAAGACAAGAAAACTAGCAATAAACGTAAAGAAAAAATCATTAAAATACGAATAAACGTTCACTGAAAGCAAACAGAACAAAACGGCATGTCAATGAGTGACTGAATGGTCATGAAAAGTCGCTAGAGTCTTGCCTATTCCTGTGTAGGGTCATTAAAGTTTTGCAAAGGAATCGGTGAGAAAAATATTAAAAATCTAACTTTTTCGTAAAGTCATCAAAAGTAAAAATTATATTGAAGGTAACTCAGTAAGTGTAGATTCGGGTTTCTTTATGCATGACGCATTGGGAAGGATGGGAACACAATGTGTGTTCATAGCAATATATAGAAAAATTCTTAAATATCTTTTGTCGCCAACTTGGCGCAGTGGTAAGAGTGTCTGCTTAAAGAGTTGAAACATTCGTCGCGGGTTCTACTTCCATTGTTGTACGTAGAGATCGGGCATTCATTTGATGCCGTATAAATCGAGGTTCCGTTTCAATGGACGTGCTGACATGAAACAGATTTCCAACTGTTTAATTTTGCTACATGTAAATGGCCGTGATCATGAGTTCAAAATATAGGAAACAATTCGAAGCTCATCACCTGCAAAGTTGCAGTAGTCGTACGGTAGACAGATTTTATATAGCAAAACAAACAAATATGAAAATTGTCTTCTTAAATTCAACAAAGCCATTTTTGATTTTATTTTTAATATGAATTATTCCCATTGAATTTTCTTGATCTTTTTTGTTGGATTCGATAAATCCACAACATTATTAAGCAAGGCAAAATAAAAAAGTGCATGGTTTTATTTTTGGTAAAGGTACAATAAAGTGTAAAAAATGCAATATGTAAACACCTTTATTAGATCCTTATGCCAGGACTCAAGATGTGTAACGGTGCAAACTTTACCTTAGAAATTATGCTGCAGAGATTATGTGTGTAATACATGTGAGGTCAATCTCTATCAGAACTGTGTAGATTACAATTTAATATCCGATCCAGAAAATAAGACATGAAGTTGTAACTTTTGAGTTCAACAAATCTTAGATCATTCCACCACAATTCAGCGTCCTATAAGAACAGAGATGTAAAATATCCTGTCAGCATTGAGAATCTCCAATATAATTTAAATATCAAGTTTAATTTCTAGATCCAATAAAAATCACTATGTACTACAAATTTTTGGAATTTGCAGTTCTAAGTAAGATCTCACCAGACAAGACTAAAATGAACTTGAAACTAGCATTGCACTTGTATTTGAATCAATTCAATCGGTCATTCATTTTCTTTTAAAATTACTAGAGAGGGAAAGATGTTGTACATTGATAATGATGGTTACAATGTTTACATAAACACTGAAAACAAACGAGAATACCTTATACCATTCCAATAATGGACATCACAAGCCATATCTAGCACTTTCACTTATGGCATCTTAGCATATATGATGTTATTTGCATTCTTCCTTGGTATGACCTCAAGTCCGTCACCTGTGAACTCCACTGAATAAAAATGAGAATAAACTACACATATTCTGTGGCGTAATCTGTCCAACATTCATCGACTTGTCCAACATTTCACTCGGTGGTCAAACATTGATTTTTATGCCCATTCGGCAAATCATTAGAAATGTTAAATTTTTTCCGTACAGATGGTAAAAAAACATTTTTAAAATGGTATAACAACTTATAATTTCAAATCAATTATTGAGGGACCGCAAGGGATTTTGAATCTTCTAACCCTTCAAACATCTGTCACCACCGTCCATACCTTGTTTACTGCAGCTGAAGAACAATATAATCAGAATCAATGCCTGGATCAATGCAGGACACTGACTGACACCTTTAAAATATACATACTGTGATTAAAACCTTTTTCTGACAAACTCAAATCAGAGAGTACTGTTCAACTCTGTTAAATTCTCAAGTTTAAGAATAAAAGGGAAACATTGTTCTTTTCATCCATTCACACGTTCCGTGTATCTCTTCATAGAGAAACACCGACATCTTACGAACGAATAACTCGCCCTAATTTCCCGAATCTCGATATTTTTCGGGATCAGCGATCGAACCCATATAAAGTTTAAAAAAAAGAAGAAATAAGTATATGTGTAAAATAGAACGGATAGTGTTTTAACCACGGCATCCTCCTGGATTTATAATATGGCTATAATACCTGTGTATTTAAGTCATATTAAGTTTATTTTTCGCAGCATATAGTATTTTAAACAAGAATTTCTACAAAGTTTTGGGGTTTTGCAATTTAGTTTTAGACTATAATTCCTTATTGTCCCCACCGTCCTTCGTGAAGTAACCCCCCCCCCCCTCCACCCTTCGACCCCTACTAGATCCGTACATACTTTATTTTTTTCTTTCATGCCACAGAATGACATTTTTTAAATTTTCCTTTCATTTCCCTTCTCTGACCCCTTTGCTCGTTTAAATGTCCATTGAAATGTATTGTAGCGTCACGGTAGCGACTACGACAAGACGTTGTTTTGAGGTATTTTGTGGGAATTTTATCTATCGAAATCCCAATAAATTGAAAAAATTTAACCGTGCAACCGTGAAGACAATAGACCACAATGACTGATCCCCGTTTTTGGTTACGTTCGTTCGTAAGATGTCGGTGTTTCTCTTATAAGGTCACCCAGCAGAAAATATATATATATATAGAAAAACCTTTACGGGGCGTATTCAAATATTTCTTGTAATCTTCTTAAATCGAAAATGTTTAAAAAATTTCAACGTGTATAATTCAAAAATATATAAATATGAGAAAGTATTTGCAAATTTTATATACTCAGTAATTAGTAATTAAATTGTTTGGTATATACACGTATATACATATTTGCATTCAAGAAAAGGAACATTATCACTGTCGTAAAGGAATTTTACACATCCATCGTCATTTAAATCGCTGCACGAAATGATACAGTCAACACATGCATGGATCATTGATTTCCTAAACAAACGAAAGGGACGCCATATTTGTTAGAGACCAAATAAGGGCTAACAGGTAAGACAATTTTGACTATAATTTATGCTTATTTAAATATGTCAAGCCGATTTAATTAACTTTACTTTATTATTCTTGTAAACAAATATATCTTGTATGCAATTTTTATTTTGTAACTTAAAGGAGAGATGACAGTTATGTACCATTCATTGTTACACAGGTACAAAACTCTTTCATAAATACAACATGGCAGCTTCAGAACTCCATGACAGGGCTCAAGATGTAAAACGCTGTCAACTTTGCCTCGGAAAAGACAGAAAGTCGGTTGCAGAAACTGTGTGTAACACTTGTAAAGTTAATCTATGTAAGGATTGTGTAGGTCATCATATGATTTCTAGTCCCAATATTAAACACGATGTTGATACTTTTGAATTTAAAAAAATTGAAATCATTCCATCGTATTGCATTGTCCACCAGGAACAGAAATGTGAAATGTTCTGTGAACTATGTGAATCCCCAATATGTCAGAAATGTCTAGCCTCTGGATCTCATGAAAATCACGCTGTGTCGCGAATTTCTGAAATTTATAGCTCCAAACTGGAGCTCATCAGACATGACTTAAATGAACTTGAAACTAGTATTGCACCTTTGTTTGAATCAATTCTCTCAGAAATAGGAACGATGTCATCAAGCATTGCAAAAAAACATGTTGACAGACAACAAACTATACATGAACTTGGTAAAAAATGTCACAAGTGTGTAGATAATGTCATTGAAAAATGTCTGAGTGATTCCAGGAAGATGGAAAAAGAGGATAATGATTCAATTCAGGGCTTGAAATCAGAGTTCAGGAATCGAATCTCATCAATTCAATCGATAATAATTGAAAACCAGTCTACCATTGTCTCGAATGATTCATCCAAAATTCTCAACTATACTTCACAAAATGGAAAATTTAGAATAATTCCCTCTAGATTTGATTTGACAGTGCCAGAATACAGACCCACAGAATTTTTAGAGGATGCATTGAGCAGGATAATTGGAAACATACCAGAAACAAGAAAAACTTGCATTCAGGGACAGATCCTAAGAGCTCCCCAACATGTTCTTTCTTTAGAGAGACCGATGAAACATGTTCTTTCAATTGATTTGCCACATAGAGTAAGAAATATAAATATTAAAAATATCAATGACATGTTTCTCAAAATAGCTTGTGTTCCAAACACAGATGAATTCTATGGCTGTGGTTTAATTGGAATCATTAAACACATGAACACAGAAGGAAAGTTGCTGGAGGAAATCACCAGCGGAGGATTGTTAGGTCCTAAAGATTTGACAGTCACAAGGGAGGGACTACTGATGTGCAGTGATGTTGTTGATAAGAGTATTAACATTGTTAAACCTGGCAAAATAGAATGTTTGATCAGATTAAAGGACTGGACACCAGATGCCCTATGCAGCACCCAAACAGATGACCTCTTAGTATACATGACATCTTTATACAAACTGGATGGGTTGAATCAAAGAAAAATCGTTCGATATTGTGGATTCACAATCACACAAGAAATACAATTAAGTGCCATGAGCAATGATTTAAAACATGAATCATTATATGTACCCTGTATTGAAGAAAACAAGAACCTTGATATTATTGTGAGTGACAGAAATTCCATATTAGTGTTCAAAAATGAAGGACAATACAGGTTTACCTATGATAGAAAGCCTCATACAAAGGAATACAACAAACCCTTTACTCCAAGTGGAGTTACCACAGACAGTATGTGTCAGATCTTAATTGCTGATGGTGCTAATAACATCATACATATCATTGATCAAAATGGACAATTTCTCTGGTATATAAACAACTGTGATTTCGATAATCCACGTGATCTCTGTGCAGACAGCAATGACATATTGTTCGTTGCCCAACCAGCAATCCGAAAAGTAAAGCAAATTAAGTACATGGAATAAAGTTTCAATGTATACGTACATGTAAGTAAACTTATATGACTTGTGAATCTCTGAAGACTGTGATGAGCAAAAAATTATAATACGTCATTTTTCTGATCGGACTGTTACGACTCTACTTTAATTCTATGGCGATCATGTGACTTTGTAAAAGCAAGGCACATTTTGACGCGGGGTTTTACTAAACTTAAACAGATCCTGATGGGCCGAATCAAAGGGCAAATATTGGTGAATTGTACCAGGATGCAATTCTGATTCAAGGAAAAAAATTAAATCGATAAGTACCCATGGATTTGAAAACGTTTTGTTTGAACCCTTCCAAACGACACAAGAGGAACCAAAAATTTGAGCGAAATGAAACACCATGATACGACGCTCCAAGGACTATGAACCTACTTATCACAGAGTTTGCAGGATACATTTCATAGAAAATTTTACAATCCTCGAACTTTTTCATGTAATAATTACAAATCGGTTTCTATTAGAAAACCCAAATCTATCGAGAAGCGAGAAAGAGCATTGGAGCAAAGTGCAACGACACCTTGATTCCAAGACAATCCTACAAAAGTGAATACAAACAACTAGAAGTATACAAATTACTTATCACTGGACCTGTCCTTCAATTGATTAATTTTTGCATTTTGAGCTAGACACCTTCATGTCAGACAGGGCTCTAGCTTTAATACAATTATTTATTATCCACCTGATGCTCATCCTAATTTGATATGACTATATCATTCATGTGTACTAAACATCTGAGGTTTACAAACTTTTCTAAACATACTTTAAAAATATTATATAAAGGCTTTTCTCTAAGGATTAAAATAGCAAGTAACATTTTAAAGGTGGAAGGGAGATTTGGGTCCCTGACAGGAAATTAGGGGACAATACCAATCTCACCGGGAATCATGCCACTAAAGGTGGAATTCTACGGTTCCCAGGTCTTTGGAACAACCATGTGAGGTGGAATAAATTTATTGTAAATAGATCTGTCCTTATAATGCAGTATAGGGGGGAAATGTACCCAAAAGACTTAATATTTTCTATAGTTTGCATACTGTACATTCTATAAAAAGCTGTCTTTTACAGATCCAACACATATGCCCCAAGTGTCATCTCAGTAGCAGCTACAAACCATGTACTAGTAGACAAAAATGTGGGCTTGTTATTTGTTGTGCATGAATCAGTTGTAGGGTCTTGCACAAATGAGAAAATTTCAGAGTGAGGCACAAGTTATCAATTTATATACTAATATCCATACTGTAATGGGATAAATCTGTACTCAAAATTTTTATTTATTTTTATGCATGTATAATTATACAAACCGTGCAGATGTTGGCTGAAAATTGTTTTGCATTTTTTATTTAGACATTTACTTAGCACCAACCACAACTCCTGAAACAGATCACAGCTACAGCAGACCACCTGTAGACAGGTTTCTAACAACCCGTGATGATGTTGAAGATAAAGGTACGCAGACAGACCTCACTTCCGAAGACATGAACGATACTCTCAGAGAAAATGAACAATTAAAGGCAAAACTCAATGATAAACATTGCACTTCCCAGAAACCTCATCATTGAAAAAGTAACTAAAATTAAATAATTTATCCAAAACGTTTGAAAACTCTAGTAAAATTGGGAACTTTCAATAAAATTAGTTACTCAACAAATGAAACAAATCTGAAATATTGTACCGAAGAACAGTAAAAATAAAAAGGGATATCAAAATAAAGGGAATAAACCTGGTCCATCTAGAAAGCTATTAATGTACCAGAATTTGGTCCGTACACTTGTGTGATTTCGCCTTCCGTTACCTATGTTTGTGGTTTAATGTCTGAGTTATTAGAGGGTCTTGTTCAAGAATCTCTTCTTAACCTGGGTATTTCATATGTATTTCTTGTTTAAAGATATCATTTTCTGGCTATCCCGAGAACTAATGAAGACGTATATGCCAAAACCTTATTTCCAGAGACCACAGCAAACATTGACTTCTTAAGAGATTTAACGCAGATGCAGCTTCTGCATTTCCTATTAATGCATCTTTACCATAACGTGATTACTGATGCCTGTATCTGAGAAAAATGACTCCTTCAGTGCGGCCAAGGATTTGTTTCCGTGTTTCCCCTTCGAGATTTAGATTAAAATATTTATTTTAAAAAGTTGGGATTTTGTCAAGTTGTGATTGGAGTGGATTGATATCGATCGACCAATCAGCATTTTTTTTTTGTATACGACAATATCTGCATTTGGTTTATACACTGAAGAAAACTTGTTCATCTAACAACTTTTACCTTAAAAAAGAAATGCATATTATAAATAATTTCCTTCATTCATTGTTAATTATGCATATTTCAGTTCTTTGTTGCGTAATTTTCCTATATCTAGTCAAAATTTCTAAGCAGAGTGTCAAGAACATGATATACTCTCAAATGGAAAATTCACATTAAATAATCTCTATGGAATAGGACCAGCACTACCTCTAATTCTAAACCGTTAAAATTTTGTGGGAGAAATTAAGGAGGAGGGGTATTATCGTTCATTATAAAATTCCCAAATATGTTCAATGAGATTTAGATCAGGGTTTTATCACACATTCAGATGCCTTTTGGTTAATTTACGTCGGCATTTAGCTCGTACGTGTACCGCTTAGAGGATGACGCCGACTGTTTGCGATGATATTAGACTGTCACAAGCACCACCAATTTCTCTATATTTTCTTACCACTTAATTTGTTTTAATGTTTCTAAAATTATTGAAGGACAATGTAACAATCTTTTAACCTGGTTGAGGGGCTAAACCTTGACCCTAGACGAAAATCCAGATCACTTCCGGTTTGGTTAAATTTTGTCAAAAGCTTTCAAACTGGGAAACGTTCGCGATGAAAATGACGTATTTCCTATAGAAAAATGTTTTAAATGGGTTTATGTACTGATTAAATCTTTAAAAGTAACATCAAGGACAAATAAACACCAAAATAAAAGTGCGTAAATCGTGGTACAAGGATGATCCAGATATCAACATTCCAATGAAGCAAAGATACTTCAAAAATACTGAGGTGCATAGTAAGCTTTGCCTTGGTTTATACACTGAACATAAATTGTGTGTAAACGGTGTGTAATGGTGTGCAATGGTGTGTGAATGAATATATGAACAAGGGGTTCAACAACCAACCGAGGAAAAGAACTCTTTTCTTGCTCCACCGAGGTCAGGCATTGTCGAAATACTCAAATATACGAAATATAAAACAAAGGAGGCAACAATCACAACCTCTCTACTTGACAACAGTATACATGTATAATTATGCAAGATACTGTATACAGGGTTATTTTCGCCCTTTCACACTTGCAAACAATTTTGCCCCGTTTTAAATTCGCCCAGTCACAGTTTTGTTTAAGAAATTAAACTGCATTCTTTGAATTTGCCCCGTTTTAAATTCGCCCAAGTGATAGTAGGGCGAAAGGGGCGAAAATTTCCCTGTATACAGTATATCAAAATCTAAAAATATGTTGTGTAAAAACAAAGACTAGCCACTCATGACATAATGTACTTTAAGGATAAGAAATATTTTTCATTCAAGTCTATTTACACAAGTAATACCGGTGTAAAGACGAATAATGACCCCCATCGAATAATGACCGGGGGTCATTTTTCGACAGCGAAAAATGACCCCCAGTCATTATTCGACGTAGAAAAATGACCCTTTTGCCCGTAGAAAAAGTGTCACCACCCTAAAAATTTGCAGAACCACGTGAAGAAAAATGATCCCCGTAGAAAAAAGACTCCCTGTGAATTTAAGCTGAAATTTTTAGGGGGCAAAAAAAAATTAGATAAAAAAGCATGTTTGCCAAATTGCTCACCTGAGCTTATTTGGAATAAAT